ATCAACTAGACAAGGAAAAAAAGAAAAAATAAGTCTTGATAGTGCATAAATTCCCTGTCATAAAGTATAAACAATAAGTATGATTACCTTTGCTAAATCTATCACCACTTCAGAGAGCTTAGGATAGCGTCTTTCAAGAGGTTCTCTTTCCTTGATTTCAGGCAACCTTACTCCAGCAAACACGGGATTTTTATAAAAAAGCTCCTGATGTCTTGGAATTAGATTACCTGGAAGTGAAAACAGCACATATCTCTGTTATTATACAACATGACAGAAGTGGTGAAGAGACATGTGGAGTGAAGTAGAGGAAATAGTGGAACACAGCTTATGGAGTTTGGGGCTCTGTCAACGTGCAAAATTGACCAAGGACAATGCTGTTACTGTGGTGGTACATGGAAGTCTTAAGGAGCATAGGAAAAGTACAGGTAAAAAATATTTTATAACCTTCCAGATATAAGTACCAGCACTTCGTTTCTAACTACAAAGCATAAAGTGCTGAACAAAACAATAAAAATATTAATAGTCATATGGACAGGATCTAATCTAGATAAATCAGTTCTACCCCTTTAAGAATTTAATATTTGGTCAACTGATTTTGTGCTTATCTTAAAGTCAGATTTGAGCACTTTATCTTTTTTCTCAACTTTAATATCTAGTTGAATATAAAACATATCTGAAAATTCCACTGTAAGAAACCATTGTACTGCTTATTTAATTTCTAACCTGAAAACTTCAAATCAAATAGTTGAATTACCCCAAGTATTTTCCCATTATTTCCATTTCTAAGCTCCATCTTCAAACATGAAGTTGATATTTCAACAAACGTAAGATTTTGATAGTCCAGCTTTGAAATTCTGTCAAAAGCACTAACAGCAAAAGTCCAAATCTGTGGTAAGAGTAAACCAACCTTGGAAATCTCTGTCTCTCCTCTTGAATGGAAAGTAAGGACAGTAGTCATATTACACCAAATGCTTACTGACTCAAGAATAATAAATGATCATTGCGTCCTCTCTACATGTAATTAACTGTATGTAAAAGTGCAGAGAAATGCACAACTTCTGCTCTTTTCCTCTTTGTTGAGGGGAAAGGGGAGGTAGTGTGATTAAGAACATGCATCAGGGCCAGGCACGGTGGCTCATGCCTGTAATCCCAGCACTTTGGGAGGCCAAGGTGGGCAGATCACCTGATGTCAGGAGCTCGAGTCCAGACTGACCAACGTGGAGAAGCCCCATCTCTCCTAAAAATATAAAATTAGCCAGGCATGGTGGTGCACGCCTGTAATCCCAGCTACTCGGGAGGCTGAGGCAGGAGAATCACTTGAACCCGGGAGGCGGAGGTTGCAGTGAGCCGAGATT